GCTGAGCATTGGACAGAATCTTACAGCTTACAATAAGGGGGGGTCAAATAGGGCTTGGAGAGAGATTGTTACTGAAACATGCATGTATGACATCTAAAAAGCCTTTTGGCTTGTTTTTGATGATAATCACTTTTTTCATCCAATCAGGCACATGGAGAATGTTAATATTACTGAGAATCATGGTGGTGGTAATGGTAGTATTACCACTATTATTACTATTACCAGCAGTAGTACTACTCTTTTGTTTCCCAGTACAGTAGAAAAAAGTGTCCCTCTCATTAGCTTCATTTTGTTTTACGTTTCTACATATAAGAGCAGTAGTAGTAGTAGTAAGTTGCTGTTGCAAAAATAACAGTAAGTATACAAATATTAACCACAGAAGTACTTTACTATGTCTCTTGATTGATTGTTGCACATGTAATAATAGTAGTAGTAGTAGTAGCTGTAGTAGAAGTAGTGTAAACCTGTCCTCTTTTTAAGTGGCTTATTTATTTTTTTTTATTAGTTTTAATGAAATGTTGTGTGTGCCTTTGAAGCCTACCCATTTTATGACATAACCCTTTTATGAAATCAAACTCCAATAGCATGTGCATAAAATATGAGCTTTGATGTTACCTTCTTTTATATGATGCAAATGTTTGGCTAAAACATCTTTGCAGCCATGTGGAATGACTGGCACTAGCAAAGGGCGCTGGAGCCAAATACTGCAGTAGAGTGCACATAAAATATTGTTACTATGGTGACTGTGAAAGAATAATTTTGTCCAGTTGCCATTGGGATTTTTGTGAAAGGAGGTTTTGCAGATTCTGTAATTTCATACTCAAAGTGAAAAAGCTTATGTATAAATGAAACTGAAAGACAGCTTTTCTCTTGTCTTTTTCATCACAATTAGCCAAACCCAGCCTGCTCCCTTTAGCCTCTTTCAATATTCAAGGCTTTCAGATAAATTCACTCCCTCTGCCCTTTTTACATCTGTCATTTAAATGTCCTATATTATACAAAATTAATTCTTGTGAGCTATGTTATAATGCTCTTACCTCTTCAAAAAACATACCCGGAGTTGTGTTTAGTTTTATTCACATGTTTGACAAATCCTGGTTTATTAGTCTGTCTACATCTCCATAACTCAAAATGCTCTGTTCCACCTTGTGATTTCATGTAGTGGTAGTTTTCAAGTTAAAAGCTACCTTTTATCTTTAGTTCAGTAGAAATGGGCAATTCCAGGGCTGAAAATACACAAATAATTGTAGTGGAGGTGTATGGATTTTAAAAACACCGTGGAGCATTTTTTGTATTACCGCATGGCATCACAACTCTAGGTATGTTTGTAATGAGGAAACAACATTATAACATAGATCAAAATGCAATGTAGAACGTGTATAAAGTGTAATATAGGCCCTTTAAGATACAACTCTCCTCTGTCTCATCTCCATCTCTGCAACAGAATCACTTACAGGATAAAGGGGAGGAGATAATAATAACACAGCATGTTTTTATAGTGCCATTCATTCACTATTGTAACCACAGATGCCCCGGGGCAGACTGACAGAAGTGAGGTTGCCAATCTGCACCATCTGCCCCTCCCACCACCAACACTCACACAGGCACACACCACAGTCATCCAGTTCCTTTATCAGATGTGGTAAGAGCAAGGGCTTTTATGGTTTTCAGAATATCAACAGTGAACCCTGTCATGAGTTTGACAACCAGTACAGTGTTTCCCACAGGTTTATACTACAGTTCAAAATTATTCAACCCCCACTGCAAATTAGGTTTACTTGTAAAATGTACAAACTAGCAGCTGTTTACAAAAAAGAAACAAGAACAAGAACCATTTAAATAGCTCACCACTACTGTAATCTCAAAATGATTCAACCCCATCATGACAAGCATTTTTAGTACTAATTAGAGCCACCAGGCAGCCTTCTTAAGAAGTCTTAGTCCATACCAGCCCACTCCAGTTTACTAATATTCTTGGGTTTGCATGCTGCAACTGCCTTTTTCAAATCCCACCAATGGGCTTCAAGTCAGGTGACTGTGATGGCCACTCTCGTATCTTCCAGGACTTCTTCTAAAACCAAGCTTCAGTGGACTTTGAGGTGCTTTGGGATCATTGTTCTGTCAGAAGGTCCAATGACGCCCAACTTTCAGTTTCCTCACAGATGACATGACATTTTCTCCCAGGATTTCTTGATACTTGATTGAATTCATCTTGCCCTCCACATGCTGCAGGTTTCCAGTTCCAGAGGAAGTGAAGCAGCCTCAGAGCATCACTGAGCCACCACCATGCTTCACTGCAGACAGAGTGATCTTTTCACCGTATGCTTCAGTCTTCCTCCTCCAGACGTACCGCTGATCCATAGTGCCAAAAAGTTCCAATTTTGTTTCATCACTCCACAGAACAGAATCCCAAAACCTCTTTGGCTTATTTATATAGGTTTGAGCAAACTGAAGCCAACTTTTCTTGTGCCTTTGGGTCAGTAGTGGTGTATGTCTTGGTGTTCGGGCATGGAACCTTTCAGCGTTTAGTATGCGCCTTACTGTGGAAACTGAAACCTCAGTGCCTGCTGCCACCAGGTCTTGCTGCAGGTCTTTTGCAGTCAGTCGGAGGTTTCTTACTCTGGTGGCAGCCGTTGGTAGTTTGAACTACGCTTCCAACTGTATCTCTAGGAACATTCAGTGCCTTTGATATATTTTTGTATCCTTTTCCTTGTTTGAGCTAAGCAATGATTTCTTCTCTGAACATTTTGGACAATTCTCTTGACTTAGCTTTATTTCTAATATGCAATAAAATGTCACCGTCAACAGTTCTCATATTTGAGGGGTTCTATGTGAAGCACACGTGATGCAACTGATGAAGTCCTTGACTGGTTGCATGTGTTGTGCTTGAGACCACACCTCATTTGCAAAAGTGTGCTCTTATGAGGAATTCTGTTCAGGGGGTTGAATCATTTTGAGACTGTTGTAGTCATTAAAAGCAGCATTTTGTGTTGGATTTGGATGAACCACTTGTAATATTAGTTTGATTTATTTTTTGTAAACAAATGCTGGTTTGTACATTTTACCAATAAACCTAATTTGCACTGGGGGTTGATCCATGTTTGAATACATTTATATAAGACAGTTTATGCAATGAAAATGTCACTTATTGCCTCCACTGATCTAAAAAGCACTGGTTACAATAATGGAAGCGTAAAGGAGCATTTGTATCACCAATTTGTGTTCAGCTTCTTTTTACACTATGGAGACAAAACTTAAAACTCAACGTCTCCGAAACACTGACTAATATCTTTTGTAGAATTGTTACCCTGCAGTCTACAGTAGTAAAAAACATTAACTGTATTCCAGTACAATAACTTTTTTATTTAGTAATATTCAGAAAACGGTTACTTTCCTAAAATCAAAGGAATCATTACGGTATTTGATCATGTAATTTAGAAAAGTAGACAACTGTGTGATTTTTTTCCATTTCCCAATTACTAATGCTTTAAAACAATGAAACAGATATAGAACTATTTTAAATTCTTTGATCGTCTTTATACTATAACTTAACTGCAACTCAATGTAAAAGTATTCATAATATTCACAATAAAGTACACTGTTTGGTCCACACATCCGAATACAAAATAGATTTTATTGCAGGTATTCAGTATTCTGTAATTTATACATTTTCAAAGTATTCTTCCCACTACTGCATTTCACTTTGACTAATCTATCTGTCAATTAGACCTATACAAACCGGATAAGTGGTTCCCTTGTGGGTTTAGCAATGAGCCTTTAAGACAGTTATTTGCACACTTGGTAAGAAAAGTTTGTATAGATTACCATGGCCATTAGCCCTGCTTTTGTTTGGGACTTGACTTTGCTTTGGAGAGGGCACCCATCACATGCTGAGGTTAAAGTCAAGTATTTATATGTTTATAATCTCATAATGCTCAGATGAAGGGAAGAATGGCAGTAGGATTTGTTGTACTTAGACATCGTGTCTCTGTGTCTGTGGGGTTAGTTGACTCGGTTTACATAATGCACTTTAAAAGCACATGACCTGGTGTAAACTTTTGTAACTGAGCTGGTTAGTGTCAAAAGGCCATCCACATGATGTAGAGGATACATATTTGCATGTTTTGTTATAACTATATAAAGCAAGTAGACTGGGCAATATTTGGAAACATTTTTATTGCAATTGTTTTGGAGATTGTTTTGGAGTGTCTCACCTATAATTAAAACTAATGAGAAATATATAAAAAGAAAAAAAACTTTAGTGTAATCTCCCAAACAAGTGGACAAAGATCTAGAAATAGTCTAGGTCCTATATTACTCAAAATTTCTCTTCTCAGAATTAAACCATATTATAATGCTATTATCTCATCGTAAACATACCTGGAGTTGTGTTTTGTTTCATTCACACATGTTTGAGTAACCCTTTATTACTCTGTTTACATGTCCAAAGCCCAAAATGCTCTGTTCCACCTTGTGAGGTCATGAACTAGTAGTTGTCAGGTTAACATATTTACTTTTAGATGGCCAAATCCAGGGTTTAAATTATCCAAATGATTCCAGTGAAGATGTATGGCATTTAAAAACACAGTGGAGCCTTCTTGTATTACCACATGACATCACAAGGTGGAATAGAGTGCTTTCCTCTCTTCTAAATATGCAGAATTTTAAACGTGTGAATGAAACAGAACACAACTCTGGAAATGTTTTTGATGAGTAAACAACATTATACCATAGATCAGAAAATAGCATAATATTGTTCCTTGATGTAATTTTATGGTTCATTTACTTCATGGGATACTTTATCCTCAACCAAGACATCTACAGGACACTTTTAGCACATTCCTGCTGCATTGTTAAATCATCTGAATACTGTGAGATAATGGAAAATAATACGCTTAATATGTTTGTAAAAATATGTAAATATCTCCCACCCCTATCCACAAGGGATTTTTTGCATGCAACAAATACAACAATGTGGTAATAGTGAAAACAGGACTGACCTGTCCAGTGTGGCCCACTTTGACGAATGCACAGAGTGGGTTGAAGGCACCGGTGCCACACACGAGCAGGTGGGTCTGGTTGTACTGCTGGAGCACCTTGATGTAGTTCGCACACTCCGTCTATGGGAATAACAATATACATAAACATATGAGACAGGGCCCATTATCCGGGCTGTGGTACATCCTGATCTACCTTCAAAGTGTCTGTGATTATTAAAATTACATGTAAACAGCTAAATCATCTTAATTCTTTTTGATCATGATCCCAGTGATTACTCACATCAGATTTTGTGGTTTGCAAAAAGTAATCTTAGATCCTACATTACGTAATATTGACTCTTGTGAGCTTTTAATCCATGTTATAATGCTTTTACCCCATCAAAAACATACACAGAGTTGTGTTTTGTTTCATTCACACGTGTTTGACTAATCCTTTATTATTAGTCTGTCTGCATTTCCAAAGCTCAGAATGCTTTGTTCCACCTTGTGATGTCATGCGGTAGTTTCCGAGTTAACAGTTACTTTTTACCTTTTGTTTTGTAGAGTTTGGGAATTCCAGGGCTGAAATCATTCAAATGATTCTGGTGAAAGTGTAGAGCACTTTCTGTATTACCGCATGACATCACAAGATGGAACAGTTTTGAGAGACTATGCAGGGTCTGTGTCTTACATATGTGTGAGTGAAATAAAACACAACTCCAGACTTGATGAGGAAACACTATAACATAGATCAGATGGTCAGATTTGGGTGTGCATGTAACCTCTGCTGATAACTGAATGAATCAAATTACAAAAAAAGTAAAAAAAAAAAAAAAGTTAGCTTTTTCTTTCTTGTATTAACTAAATATTGCATGATATTATTATTTGAAATATGCTTTGGGATTGCTATACTTTAGGAAGGTTAAATATAATGTAGAAATGCCATCTGTTTTAAATAAATCTCTAGTGAGTTTTTGTGCATATTGGGCAACAATGTTTTATTGTTTTCAGTGCATCAAATGTGTCTGTATGCCTACACAATATATTATACATATGCAACAAAGAATTTTAGATAATTTTTTATATAAAAGTTGAAATATAATAATCTTATATTTTTGCAGCTAATCATGCCTTACCTTCTCTCTCCCCTTCATCAGACAGTTTTCAATCTGAGCTTCTGTGCTCGCCCACTGGACCTGCAACAAACACTATTTTAATAATAGCTTAAGTCACAGCTTCCAACTGGTAAGCACAAAAACAGACTGGTCTTTTACATAGAGCCAAAATCTATAAACATTGTAATAACTTTTAGCAGTGCGGGCGTACGCGTATTGGCAGGCCTTTTACCTCTCGGGGATGGGCGTTGATGCGATCCAGGCTCAGTGAGAAGAGAGAATTCTTGGCCCCGATGTAGAGGCGCTCGTGGCTGTCATCGAGAAGCATGGTCCTGGGCTGGAAAGAGGCTCCATGTCCCTGGTACACCCATGTCCGGTTCATCTGCCACAGCTCTGCACACAGGGTAAAGCAGGACAAAGCAGGGCACATGAGAGGCAGATGGTGGAGGAGTGTGAAGGGGTTTACACTTGATTTGATTTCACTTTCACTTTGTATGTAGGGCTTTCATCTTATATCAAGTGCAATTCAGAATGTTATTGATTGTGTTTAAATGTTTGTATAGGTCCAGTATTTGAAGAAGTTACTGCGGCCGTATACTTCACCCAGAGCCCTGAGATCAGCTGACCAGCTCCTGCCACTGTGACCAAAACTAGGTTTAAGACCTTTTCTGTGGCAGCGCCCAGCGTCTCTGCCTGTCAGATCCTCTCAGTCTGTCGTGCAGTTTAAGATTAGGCTGAAAACCCATCTCTTCTCCCTGGCATTTAATACTAGCTCGACAGGAAACCTTGGTGTGTTATTGTAGTTTTCCCATGCATTTTGTTATCTGTATATCGGTTTATTCTGTTTGTTGACTTTTATTCGGAATCATCGGAATTGGATTTGAGTAGCTTGGACTATGAAGCTCAACAATGACTGCCTATATGGTTCCTGAAGCAAATTTTCCATACATTTTCCCCAAAGAACTTTTGAAAATTTCCACTATGTAACTTTTTGGTTGGGGGTCTGTCACCTGCTTATTTCTGTTGCTCTGCTTTCGAATGTTCCACAGTATGACATTAACCAGCTCTACTTTTTAAAAATACTGGTGGTTTTATAGCTCAGAAATAAACAGAAAAAGAGGCATTCGGACAGAGCAGGGTTGCCTCTCCACAGATCTGACGAGTAACTTCAACTGGTTTGGTCAGTATGATGGTAGAAACCATACTGTGACACATTTCAGACAAAGCAATAACATCTCAGACCAAAAAAAAAGTTACACAGTGCATCTTTAACCTATTTGCCTAAGTTTCAAATTTCAATAGATCCAATTTAACACACCCATTTTCAGAGTGTAGAATTGTTTTCTTTAAATTGCTTAATCCTGTGTGGAGATGTGGTTTCCATTTGTCATGCGTAACTGGTACCACACAACGTGGCTAACCAGCATTACCAGGCCCTGTGTTGGCGTGTGCAGTTTGAGTCAAGGCCAAGGGCACATTTCAACATGTGGGAGTGATTCAGAGCTCTCCAGAGATGGGCAGGGAGTGACCACAGGGTTATCATCCCATCTCCTGAGCCTATCCACTGGGAACTCACGTCTCCTCTTACTCCATCCACACACCTCCTCTGGATCCACCAACACAGCATCAAAACACTAACTCTGATGATGCTTTCAACGCACAGACAGCAAAAAAAAAAAAAAACAAAAACAATCTCTTATTTTCTGATCTATGTTATAAAGTATCAATATAAAGTACCTTATAACACATACCTGGAGTTCTGTTTTGTTTGATTTACATGTTTAACACACAAACCCTGCATATTTATACTGTGTTATTGGCCAATAGTCCACATGGGCATGTTATACCCAATTGAATCCACTTAACAGGTAAGTAAATGTTCTAATTTGTGGCGTAGCATCAATATTTATCAGAGGACTAATTTGTCTGTGTACACTGATATGTAAATGGACTGTGAATAAAGGTGTTAGGCCTTCCTACTCACCTTAAATATGCCTGTAAAGAGGCAAACTAACAGTAAAGGAATCCTAAATAAATCCAACTCAAACCCAAGTCACGTTTTATAATTTGGTTAAGATTTACAATGAATTTTTACATCACTATCGGCTGTTTATATTGGCAGTTGGCACCTCCAAAGCCTGTATTATCGCCAAAAAGAAAAAAAGAAAAAGAAGTAAAAATCAGTCAAGCATGACTCCATACACATTCACTATAATCATTTGGATAATTTCAGCCCTGGAATTGCCAATTTCTACTGGAGTAAAGGTAAAAGGTAGCTGTTAACTTAAAAACTATAATATAGGAAGTTAATAAGTGTTTGAATCAAGTAGTAGCTCCATTGGCAAATCTCATTTAAGAGTCAAAATGTACTCAGATCACAATAACTACTACTTGATTCAAGTAGACAATTTAATCACAATCTACAGCTCAGTGTTCCCAAAGCAAATTCAGTCTATAATTGAATGTTCCCAAAGCAAATATTTATGTAATTATCTATTATGCCTCTAAATACTTCTATGAAGTTATCTTATTTAAGAATTAAAAGTGGCCGACAACAGATTAAGCAGCACTTTGCACTGTGTTTGGGTGGCTAGGAAAAATATTAATATTATAAATATTTTAGCTGCATTTTAACTGCTTCTCTGTCATGCTCAAATGACGACTGTGTATGATCAGACATCAGAGGGCCCATATTACCCTATTTTCAGATTCCTAACATACTTGGAGTTGTGTTTTGTTTCATTCACACATGTTTAACACACAAACCCTGCTTATTTAGACTGAGTTTTTATATCAAACAGAAAACACCATGTTCCACTTACAGGAAGTGCTCCACTGTGTTTTTAAACTCCATACACCTTCACTAAAATCATTTGGTTAATCTCAGCCTTGGAATTGCCAATCTCTACTGAACTAAAGATAAAAGGTAGCTGTTAACTTGATAACTACTACTTCATGACATCAGAAGGTGGAACAGAGCATTTTGAGCTTTGGAGATAGAGACAGACTAATAAATCAGGATTATTCAAACATATGTGAATGAACCAAAACACAACTCCGGGTATGTTTTTGAAGAGGTAACAACATTCTAACATGGCTAAAAGCTCATAAGAGTCAGCTTTGCACAATATAGGACCTTTAAGATTACTTGCGAACCCATATGAACCAGGCAGTAAATTGTTATAAATGCATGCAGCGACCAGCCTGTAACCACCAGTACTTGCTATGCATTTGCCAAAAAGATCTGAAGACCTAAACTAACCTTTGTCACATATTCCACCCACTCTAAGAACCTCTATTTACAACCAACAAAAACAACTGTTGTGGAAGTTAAGTGCATGTGGTCACCAGGGAGACAGAACCATTTTATCAGCGAGGAAGCGGAACCATTCACTTCATCAGATATTAGGAACCACAGACATGCCTACAATCTACAGAAAGATTACAACAAACAAAAAACTGTGACAAATAAAGGAAAACATTGTGCAAAATTGCATTTTAAGAGCTTTTAATGTAGAGAGTGGTTCATGCATGATTAATTAATCTTTTCACTGTATTCAAGACGTCATTGCACCAGTTTTCACCTCCAACTCCATGGAGATACGCTTAGGATTTGTTAGTGTAGTGTGTGGCCATTTTGACACAAATGAACAAAAAAAAAAAAGTATGGCATTAAACTCATATATCATTAGTCAATTATAGGTATTTTTTATTGCTCACAAACAACTGGGAAATACTGTGAGTAGGGTAGTCACCTCTCCATAGATCTAACCTGTAAACTGGCCTGGTGGCGTTACCAGCTTGCCTCCAGGGAGATAGATGAGTTTAATGGCATAATATGAAACATTCCAGGCAAAGCAATAACATCTCCATAAGTCTCCAAACGGTACACAGTTCACCTTTAAGTGAGTATTGCAGCAAAGCTAATTACTAATAAGAAAGCAATGGATTTATGTAGCACTTTTCGGAGCATGTGAAGTGCTTAACATTGAAGTATTCATTTACTAAAGAAATCCACTGCTCACTAGTGCGATCTGCAGCTATCCATATGAGGTGCTGACAGCATGTGAAACACTTTTGGCACTTTGATGTGCTGATTTCTATGGTGTACCATATATATGTACTATAACAGGTGAGCTGATTTGTGCTGTTAAACAAGTACCTCAAATGGAATTACAGTCACAAACTAGCTACCATTAGCCAATAGTCTTTCAGTTTCACCTTTTTGTTGAAAATCAAACATCTAAACAGGACCATGAACCTTCATATTGATCACACCTTCTTTAAAATGTGTTGTTTAAATCCATTTTGTATCTTAAAACTGTTTATCTGTGTTTGCGAACATGTGCATTTTGTCACTATGGAAACATTCCACCATACACATACATGTAGAACACCCCCAGCATGATTGTGCTATAACAAAGCTCAGATTAAAGTATAACTAGAGTAAGCGTTTCAGATAGAGTAGTACCTTCAGTTCGCCTCACACTCCCAGGGATTATTAATAACATCAGATACAAAGCAGATATATAGCAAAAGCAGACAAAAGCGTAATACAGTATGTCTTCTTTAACAATTAGTAAGGTTCAAAAAGTACTACCATATAATGAAACAGTGCCTGGTACAGGTTGCTCCGCTGTACCCTGGAGGTTGGGGTTAAAGGGGGGTTGAGTGGTGAGAGTCCCCAGGGGCGTGCACTTCCTCTGGGCTACACACATGTCTGAGCAGCCTTTCATTAGCACATGACTGGATGTCCTTGTACAAGAGAAAAAACCTCCGATCTGGAGTGTGTTAGCCGCCTTTTAAAAACCACATGAATTGAACGCTGCGCTGTAAAAAACGCTGTGGTCTGACATTTACAGCCGTTGTATATAGAGGGTAAAAGTGCTAAAAAAAGGAACTGATTTTGAACTGGAAAAGATTCTGGGGCTGCACGATTATTCGCAATTACAATTAGCAAATCACAAATACTACAATTATTTAAAGGTGCACTGCGTAACTTTTCTTGGTGAGGGTGCGTCACATGCTTGTCTCCATGTGGATGTACTCAGCTGTTCACTGTTCAGTCTGGAATGTTTCACAGTACGACATTAAACGTATCTATCTCCATGGAGACAAGCAGGTCAAGGTACAGATCAGTTCGGTGGAGAGGCGTGTTATAATGTTTCCTCATGACAAACATACCTGGAGTTGTGTTTTGTTTAATGCACACATGTTTAACACACAAACTCTGTATATTTAGGTTGAGTTCATCTCTTGAATAGTTTTTAAACTCGATACACCTTCACTAGAATCATGTGGATGATTTTGGCTCGAGAATTGCCAATCTCTACTGAATTAAAGGTAAAAAGTAGCGCTTTACTTGAAAACTACTGCTTCATAACATCATGTAG